TGTGTGTGTGTGTGTGTGTGTGTGTGTGTGTGTGTGTGTGTGTGTGTTTCTGAGGCAGAGTTTCTCTGTGTAGCTTGGCTGTCATAAGCTCGCTTTGTGGAACAGGCTGGCTTCAAACTCACAGAGATTTGCCTGCCTCTGCTGGGATCACAGACATGCACTTGTTAAGGTTTCCAGGAAGCACAATAATTATAGCCAGGTTTGCTTAGATATTTACCATATATTTATCTTGTTTGCCAGCCCAAGAAAGTAATTTGTGAAAGCCAGGATCATGGGGTAGGGTGGAGAGTGCTGCGACATGTGGAGGGGGTAAGCAGGCTGAGCTCCAGGGAAGACGCCGTAGTTGAGAAACTGGTTCAGCCTGACTTGTTTCGTGTTGCTATTCTCAGTGACGTGCTGAGGGGCCTTGTGCCTTGTAGCCTGAGATTTTTCTGCTGGTGGGAGTGTGGAAGTGATTTTCTACCTTCAGTGACTCAGGCTTTATGAAAAATAAAATGCATAAAATCTACTTTGGATTAATCATCTACTTTGGAGTAATCATCCATAATTACTTTTTAAAATAAAAGTTGTATATGTAGACACTAATATACTTTTACCATTATGAGTGATTTCTTTTTTCTAGGGCGAGTTTGTGAATGAATATGTGGGCGAGCTAATAGACGAAGAGGAGTGCAGAGCTCGGATTCGTTATGCACAGGAACATGACATCACCAATTTCTACATGCTCACTCTAGACAAAGTAAGTAATGCAACTCGCTTTGTGTGTGAATGTGTGTTTAGCCTAGTCCCAAGTTCCAGTGTTTGTCATAGACCTGAGAGTGTTCTTGATCTTCATTCTGGAGGTAGGGTAATAGGCAATAGAGCTGTTCTTAGTACTCTTTATGAATGGTCTAGTATAAGTTGAGGTTTTTATGACATTAAAATGTATGAAAAGGCTGCAAAGGTTACAGATGGGTCTTTTCCCTGTCTTTTTTATAAACTAGAGGAGTAGTTTATTAATATTTAGATAGTATGTTCTGAGGATCCTGTAAAGCAGAGGTCCTCAACCTTCCTATTCTATGGTCCTTTAATACAGTTCCTCATGTTGTGGTCACCCCAAGCCATAAAATCACTTTCATTGCTACTTCAGGACTGGAAGTTTGTATTCTTATGAATCATAATGTAAACATCTGTGGGTTTTGATGATTGTTTGGGGTTGCAACCCACAGGTTGAGAACCGTGCTATAAGTCAGGTGCAGTGGTGCTGTGGTGCTTACCAGCACTCTGGTGGCAGAGGCAGACAGATCACTGAGAATTTGAGACCAGCCTCATCTACAGAGAGAGTCTAGACAGCCACAGCTACCCAGAAACCCTGTTTCCAAGAGAGAGCCATGATACAAATTGTAAAAACTCAAGAAATAAGTAATTTCCTGTTTTTGTTTGTTTGTTTTCTGAGAAAGAGTTTCTCTGGGTAGCCCTGGCTGTCCAGGAACTCGCCCTGTAGACCCGGCTGGCCCTAAACTCAGAGATTCACCTGCCTCTGCCTCCGCCTCCCAAGTGTTAAGATTAAACTGTAACACCCAGATTATTCTATTTTTTTTTTTTTTTATGTTTTTAGTGGTCATTGGAGTTCTATTTCATAATGCTTGAATATTAGATTACAGTAAACTTTTTTTATGCAGACAAGGTTTCTCTGTGTAAGAGCCCTGGCTGTCCTGGAGCTCAGCTTTGTAGACCAGGCTGGCATGAATTCACAGAGCTCTACCTGCCGCAGCCTCTCAGTGCTGGGGCTGAAGGCCTGAGCCACCACCAGCTTGTTATGTTACTTTATGCTTTGTTATTGCATGTTACTTACTTTCGGTTAGGGTATTGCAGTTGAATTTGAATCAGAACCTTACTAAAGTTACCTCAGTTGCCCTGGAAGTTGCCGTTGTCATGCTTAGACTCACACCTCTTGAGTGGCAGTTACCTTTACAAGTATTTCTTAAGTTACACTCTCATGTTTATGAGTCCTTTCAGCCAGAAATTCTGATGATGGTTTGGGAATAGGGAGTCAGCATAAGTATTTAAAATTCATTAAATGATTTCTAATGTGTCCCTGGCTTAAAAAGTTTCTAAATAGAAAATAGAATAAGCTGCTTCTTCTCTGGGGCAGTGGTTCTTAAACTTAGTGGATATCTGAATCTCCTAGGTGGGCTTGTCACACGTTGTCAAACCCACAGAGTTTAGTGCCCTCTTGAGTACACTGGAAGCATCATCTTCCAGGTGGAGTTGGTGGTGACAGTTCCTGGTCCACAGGGGACATGTGTGGGACCATATGATTTTAAAAGCAACCACTTCATCTTATTAGAGAGAACAGTCTAGTTTTCTGCACAGCAGAGTTCTCAAGAAATCTGACAAGTAGCTTTTCTTGGAATTTTAGGATCGGATTATTGATGCTGGTCCTAAGGGAAACTACGCTCGGTTCATGAACCACTGCTGCCAGCCTAACTGCGAAACCCAGAAGTGGAGTGTGAACGGAGACACCCGTGTGGGCCTTTTTGCTCTGAGTGACATTAAAGCAGGTGAGAACGAGTCTGGAGTTCATGGTTTTCACTTACCAACTGAAAATCTTCTCTGTCCTCCATTCGGAAAGAAATTCTCCCAATTCCCAAAGCTGCCTAGACAAGGGAAGACACCAGGTGGTGTCTAGTGTGGCGGTGACGCCCACCTTAAGCCCCAGGCCTGAGAGACTTTCCAGGTGGTACTTCGGGGTGGTTGCTTTGTTTTTTGTTTCCTTTTGTTTTTCAGGGTTTTTCCTTTCTTTTTGATCTCATAAAGTAGAGATGTAATTTATTATTTTAACCATCTTAGCTGTACAGTTCTAGGATAAACATCGTTGTACAACTGTTAACACCTATCCCAACTGAAACTGTTCCTACTCTCCTCTCCTCCAGTAACCCCCCTACTCAACATATTTTCTCTGAATTTGACTGAATTTTCTTTCTTTCTTTTTTTCTTTTCTTTCCTTTTGTTAGGGGAGGAGAGCGTTAGTGTTTGTTTGGGTTTTTTTTTTTTTGTTTGTTTGTTTTGTTTTTTAATGATTTACTTTTATTTTGAGTGCATTGGTGTTTTGCTTGCCTGAATGTCTGTGTGAGGGTTTGAGAGTTTCAGGTCCCCTGGAACTGCAGTTACAGGCAGTTGTGAGTTCTGGATGCTGGAACTGAACCCACTCCTCCAGGGTTTTTAACCACTGCCATTTCTTTAGCTCCAGTTAGTTTTTCTTATTGGGGAGCCCAGACTAACCATGAACTTTGCCTGCCTCTGCTGAAATTAAAGCATGAATCACTATCCTTAGCTTTGAAGGATCCTCATGTGAATAAAAATCCTATAATAGTCCTTTTGTTACCAGTTTCTTTTATTTAGCAAAATTTTTCTTTTATTTTAATTTGAGACAGGCTCTTACTTTGTAGCCTTGGCTGGCCTAGAATTTGTTATGTAGACCAGACTAGCCTTGAACTCATGGCTTCTACTTTCACCACTGAATTTCTTACCAGCTCCTAAGGTTATAAAAGGAAAAATTTCTGAGATACCTAAGAATTGGTGGTTTGACACTAATCAGCTCTATGGTGGTCATTGTCTGTAGGAGGGAGATGCATCCTCGTGAGTAAATCTGAGAGGAGTGAGTAGTTTCATAAGTATACCATCAGTCACATTTTTGTGGTGGCAATAACTGAGAACAACTTCTGGTCTGTGAAATGGGTATTCATTTGGGTCTAATGCTTGAACAATCACTCTGGTCACTTGTGTGGTAGCTTTTACATGTACAGAAAGTACATGATTTTCAAAATGAATTTTTCTAGGGCATGGTAGGAGAGGTTGTCAGGCAATTGATTATTGTCTTATTGTTTTTAAGATTTTTAAAAATTTTATGCATATATGTGTCTGTGTGTGGGGGTGCCGGTGTATCCAGAAGGGACACCATAGTTTGAAGAGCTACAGTTAGAGGCAGTGTGATCTGCTAGATACAGTGCTGGGAATTGAACTCAGGTCCTCTGAAAGAGCAGGAAGCACTGTTTTATTGATGTTTTGTTTTGTTTGAGATAGGGTTTCTCTGTGTTGCCTGGACTGGTATTCGAACTCACAGATATCTGCTTGCCTCTGCCTTCCTCATGCTGGGATCAAAGACGGGCACCACCAGGCCCAGCACGGTAAATACTTTTAACCACTGGCTCTTTGGTCCTCTATTGAATTTTAGGTGGTTGATTGGTGTTTTGTTTTTATTTTAAGACAGGGTCTCACTATGTCGTTCTGGCTGGCCTGAAACTTAGTATGTAGACTAACTATCCTTGAATTTGGAGGTGCGCCATGGCTCTGTCCTTCAGTGCTGGGACTGGAGATGCGGGCCACCGTGCCTGCACACTCAGGGATTCCTATGCTAGGCATTTGCTCCTGCACTGTTCAAGACCACTGTCCTCTGTTCATAATATTTTAAATGAGAATAGAATAAGTAGCGTCACCCATATTTGAGCCAGTAATTCTATGGGCAATGTGAGATGGGAGCGCAGCCATGCTGTTAACCTTGATTGGTCTTGGTTGTAGTGGGGTTTTGTTGTTGTTGTTTTCTTTGTTTGATGCCCCCCCCCCCTTCAACCTCTCAGTGAACTAAGTACAGATCATTTCTTATATCTACAACATGAATCTTAAGTATAAGTCACTTGGCTTTATATTTTGTTCAGCTAAAGAAATAAACTGTGACTTCTAGCATTTAATGAAAACCTATATTTCTTGGTACCCCTGTTGGGCAAGATGGCTAAGAAGGGAAAGGCACTTGCTGCCCAAGCCTGATGACCTGAGTTGGATTCCTAGAATCACATAGTGGAAAAAGAAACCACCTCAAGCATGCTGTCCACTGACCTCCACACATGCACACCCATATGCCTTTAACACACACACAGAGCAAATGCTTTAAAATCTTAAATAGAGTATCAGTCTGTAATTGTAATATTCCTAAAACTTCGTGAATTTGACTATGAATGATTAATCTTTTTTCTTTTGGTTTTTTTGAGACATTGTTTCTCTGTGTAGCCCTGGCTGTCCTGGAATCGATTTGTAGAGCAGGCTGGCCTTGAGCTATAGAGATCCGCCTGCCTCTGCCTCCTGAGCTGGGATTAAGGGCATGTGCCACTGTGCCCAGCTAAGTGATCAATCTTGCATGTTAGTACAAGCTAACATGCTGCTAACAAAGGCAGCCTGTTTGTACTCATAACATTCTCAGGTTTGTTAGGCCTACCTACTTTTGAGTTTGTGTGTTGGTGTGCTTAATTTCCTTTCAGTTCTGATTCAGTTGACTTATTTCTTTGTTTTATTGGTATTTATTATTGAGGCAGTGGTTGGAATTCAGCCCTCTTAACTTCTGGGACTAAGGGTTTGTGCTACCTTGCCCAGCTTGTACCTTAATGTGTGTCTATGATTTTGTTTTTTGTTGTTTTTCAGTTGTGGGGAGGCTGTGCTAGGGATAAACTCAGACTCTTTCACATACTAGGCAAGTGAGCTGTGCCCTCGTCTTGTACACAGGTCTTTAAATTTTACATATTGTTGTGGGTATTGTGTTGTGGTTCCTCAGTTGATTTATGATATGGTTTCTCCGTTTATAAAATGGGATGTTTGGCCTATGGCTATGGGGGAACATTCTTATCCAGAAGTGGACAAAGTAAAGGTGTTTCTCGGGTTCTCTGTTGGTGTGAGGCTTGCCTAGTCTACACAAGACAGCGTTGAGGAGTGAATGAAGCTACTCCAAGTTCAGATCCCCTAGCCATATTATGTCATAACTAGCACGTGTCACTCCATGATCTTACTTTCCTTACACTCTACTTGGCAGTGCAACACCTGTTCCCCGCAGCTGCCAGATAACTGGCAGATGTTCTTCAAATCTGCATTCCCCATACATGGCACACTGACAGGGGCTGCGGCGCCCACATGCCACAGTGAGCGTGTGCACATCAGAGGGCAGCGACTGGCACCTTTGTCTTGATCCGAGGCAGGATTTTTTCATTGTTTTTTTTTGTTGTTTACACGAAGCTGGCCCTGAGCTTCCAGGGAGTACACAGTCACTGCTCTTACTCAGCTTTCATGTGGGTTATATTTATTGTTGTTAGTGAGTTAGTGTGTTTTGAATCTAAATAGTTGGAAAATGATAAAAAAGTGAGAAGTAATACTTTAAATATAAGGATTAGTTTAAGTATCACTTATTAAGCTGCTTAAGTTTCTGAAGTTAGCTAATTAGTAACATAGAATTAATATTGTGTTCTCTTAAAATTTGTCTTACCTGGGTATGATGGTGCATGCCTTTAATCCCAGCACTCAGGAGGCAGAGGCAGGCTGTCAACATGGTCTACAGAATGAATTTCAGGTTATCCAGGACTACACAGAGAGACCCTGTTTCAAACATTATAAAAAAATAAAATAAAATTATTGTGTTAGAAGTTATTGTCATTTACAATCAATTAAGAAATAATATAGCTGTATATGTTAATATTTTTGTGGTCTCTTATACAGGCACTGAACTTACCTTCAATTACAACCTAGAGTGTCTTGGGAATGGAAAAACTGTGTGTAAATGTGGAGCTCCGAACTGCAGCGGCTTCTTGGGTGTGAGGCCAAAGGTACCACTTTCCAGACATTTATCTTAAGAACAACGGTATGTTTTTCCTGTACCGTTGTTAGGTACAGTGCTGGGGATAAGTCTTCATCTTAAGAGGAAGAAGGTATTGCTTTGATGGAAGTGACTCTCAGCATTGTCACTGACAGTTTCATAAATATTCTCATGATATGGTTAGTGTTGCTGCTGTGTTCTGAGCAGTTTGACTTAATAGTACTTTCCTAGCCAGAGGCAGAGGCGGCTATAAAATAAAAACATATGAAGTAGGTTTCTTCTTCCTGGTCTCAGCTCACTTCATACCTTCTATTCAGCTACTTAGACTTGCCATGTATGTGTCTTTTTTTTTTTTTTTTTTAGAGGTATTGGTAGAATTTACTACACTATAATACCAGAGCCAGAAACAGAATACTGAGCCGGGCATGGTGGTGCACACCTTTAATCCCAGCTCTCAGGGAGGCAGAGGCAGGTGGATCACTGAGTTCAAGGCCAGCCTGGTGTGCAAATCAACTTCAGGACAGCCAAGCTACACAGAGAAACCCTGTCTCGAAAAACCAAAACAGAAAAAGAAGAAAGAAACAGAATACTGGACTGATGCTGTAGTTCTGTGGTGGGATGCTTTCCTGGCCCATGCTAAAAGTCCTAGACCACCACCAAAATATACACAGAAAACTTAACCTCATTACTATAATATAGACATTACTGTGTCCTCCTGTGTTTATGCACATTTATCTGAGTTACGGTGCTGTAATTGTTAGGGAGATTTGTCATTTATGTCGTGTGTGCTTGTTTTGCCTTATATATGGATGCAATGCATTAAGTACCTAGAAAGATCACAAAGGGCCTTGGAGTTCATAGACCTGGAACTAGAAAGAGGTGTAAATATCCTTGTGGGCATTTGGCATCAGACCCAAGTCCTCTGGAAGAACAGTCCATGCTGCTGTTCACTCCCACCGCTTGTTCTCTTTAAAGAGTCTCCCACTGTGTTGTCCAGAGTAGCCTTGAACTGGAGAGTCTGTCCTCCAATCTCTGCCCCTATATGCTGGGATTACAGGTGTGCACCCTCATTCCTGACTGGGTTTTGGGGATTTGTGTCTTTGTTTCATTTTGTTTTGTGTTGTGTTTGTTTGTTTTGGGTGTTTTTGTTTTTGTTTTGTGGTATTTGTTTATTGGTGGTTTGTTTGCATTTTGTTTTATTAGGGTTTTTTTTTGTTTGGTTGGGTGGTTTAGTTTTTCAAGACAGGGTTTCTCTGTGTAGACTGGACTGGTAACCACCACCAAATGGCTGATGGTTTTCATTGAAAGTTTGTTTTGTTTTGTTTTGTTTTTGAGACATGATCTCACTGTTGTAGCTCTTGCTGTCCTGGAACTCACTGTGTAGACCAGGCTGTCTTCAAATTTACAAAGATCCACCTACCTCTGCCTCCCAAATGCTGAGATAAAAGGAGTGTGCCACCAAATAAAAGATTATTTGCTAATCTTTATCCTGCTTTTCTTAAATACTGTTTTAAATTTTCTTTGCTGTTATGTGTCTTTATCCTGCTTTTCTTTCTTTTTTCTTTTCTTTTGCAACAGGGTCTCCCTGTGTAGTATGGATGGCCTGAAACTTTTTCTGTAGACTAGGATAGCTAGCCTTGCTTCCTTAGTTCTGAACTATCATACTCAGCTTAACCATAGTTTTAGAGACAGTTTAAGTGTTTGTGTTATGGTCTGATACAATATCTTGATTTCTTCAAGATTTTTCTGTAACAGTGGTTGCAAAATCTCAAGCTGGTGTAAAAAAAGGCTACACAGTAATTCCGGTTGGATGTTTCTCATTTTGTTTGTAAAGCCCAATATTAAAAAGTGAAAAAAATGCAAATAAGAATTACATTGTTTTTAGTAAAATCTGTGAAAGTAAATAATACCCGATAATATTTTATCTTGTTAAATTAGGAAAATCTCTATATTACATTAGGTTTTGCTTAGTTGATTGCTAATTGGTGCTGTATTTCCCGAGTCACAATAATAATGGAATTTATCTCTTGGTTAATAGGGTCAATGACCTTTCATGTATGAAACAGTGTGAGTGAAGGAAAGAGCACAGTTTAGATGGAGAGAGCATTGTATCCTGTCAGAGTTGTAGGATTTTGGATTTTTGTTCTAGTTTGGTTTGGGTTCTTTGCCGGGGGAGGAGGATCTTGTTTTGGGTGTTTTGTTTTGTTGAAACAGGGTTTCTCTATGTAGCCGTGGCTGTCCTGGACTTGCTTTGTAGACAAGGCTGGCCTCAAACTCAGTGATCCTCCTGCCTCTGCCCCCCCAGTGCTGGGGTGTGCCACCGTGCCAGCCTAGGAGGGTTTTTTTTAATGAACCTTATTGCTGGGTAGACAAAGGCTTTATGAGAAGTTGTAGATATTAATTTAATTTGACCTAAAGATATACTGTTGGTAACAAAGACTGAAATGATCTCTGTCTTCCTAATGAATTGTTAGTGAAGTTTCTTGAATAAACTAATAACCATAAATGTACACATAGAAATCTTTAGTTAAGAAATTATCAAAACCTCAGAAATGTCACACAGTGGGTGGCCTTTAATATGAGTTTTTTAATATATAAATTTTTCTTTTTTTTTTTTTTTAAAGATGTATTTATTATTTATACAACATTCTGCCTGCACACCAGATCTTACTATAGATGGTTACAAGCCACCATGTAGTTGCTGGGAATTGAACTCAGGGCCTTTGGAAGAACAGTGAGTGTTCTTAACCTCTGAGCCATCTCTCCAGCCCTAATACAAGTTTTTTGTATTAATGAAAAGAAGTATTTTTCTCTTGCTTCATTCAAATTTAAAGACTATTATACAAGGGGCTGGAGAGGTCTCTCAGTGGTGAAGAGCACTGTCTGCTCTTCTAGAGGTCCTGAGTTCAATCCCCAGCACCCACTTGGTGGCTCACAACCATCTATAGTGAGATCTGATGCCCTCTTGTGGCCTGCACGTGCAGGTGTACAGGTGGATAAAGCACGCAAGTCTTAAGTACCTGGATGTGGTATTATATTCATGTAAACCTAGTGCTGGGGAAGTTGACACAGGATGATGGCAATTTTAAGGCCAGTCTGAGCTGTTTTCGAGACACTATCTTAAAAAAGAAAAAAAAAGGCAAAATAATAAAAGCCCGCAATATGGCTCAGTAGGTAAGGGTGCTTTCTGTCAAGCCTGATGACCTAAATTTAGTCTCCAAAGACCTAAAGGTATAAGTATGGAAGAGAGTCCTTCAAGCTGTCCCCTGACTTTCATGCACGTGCACACATACCATGGTACATTTTATTCTCACACACAGACACCTATGCACACATAATAAGTGGATGGAATTTTTTGTTTGTTTGTTTGTTTGTTTGTTTGTTTGTTTGTTTGTTTTTTAAAAGGACATGGTCATGCAAACCTGTGCATCAGAGGCAGGTGGATCTCTCTTTGAGTTTAAGCCAGCCTGGCCAGCATAGTAAATACCAGGATAGCCCAGCTACATAAAAGAGACCCTGTCTCAAAAACAAAACAACAAGAAACATTTTTATGAAAGAAGCACTAAAATCTACTGTGGTGAGGCTCTTTCACAGGGTAGAGCCAAATGAAAAGCATTTCCAGCGGTCAAAGCTTGACAGTTTGAACACTACAGAAAGTTAATGTGATGCTTGTGTTTAAAAGTGTGTTCTACTCTGTGTGTATATGTTTTGCTTTCATAAATGTTTGTACAGCACCTGCGTACCTGCTGCCAACATAGGCTAGGAGGGTATCTGAGCCCCTGGAATTGGAGCTACAAATGATTGTGAGCTACCACACCCCGTGTGATCACACCTGGGTCTCTGAAAAAGCAGCAGGGGCTCTGAATAGTTTTATTGTTAAGACTGCAGTTCATGCTAAAACGCCATGCTGCCTTCTGCATATTCTCTTCATCTTTACAGCAGTCTCTTGAGTGTTGTCTATTTCCAGAGGAAAAACTGAGGTTGGAAGGATAGTTATCTAGTCAAAATTACATACTGAGTTGTTGACAGGATGTTGACTAATCACTATCTGATCTCCAGAATCAACCCATTGTCACGGAAGAAAAGTCAAGGAAGTTCAAGAGGAAGCAACATGGAAAGCGCAGGAGCCAGGGTGAAGTCACAAAGGAAAGAGAGGACGAGTGTTTCAGCTGCGGGGATGCTGGTCAGCTCGTCTCCTGCAAGAAACCAGGCTGCCCAAAAGTTTACCATGCAGACTGTCTCAATCTGACCAAGCGGCCAGCAGGTTGGTGCCAAAGTCTATTCAGAGCACTCCTTCTGTGTAAGAATGTGCAGAATCTGATGCCACTTGCTTCAGTCTGAGAAAGAATGCTATTTGTGAGCACATGCCTACAGTCAAGAGGTCTGGTCCATGTTATTATTTTATTTACATTGGTGCTCTGCCTCCATCTATGCATATGTAATAGTGTCAGATCCCCTGGAACTGCAAGTTACAGACAGCTATGAACTGTGATGTGGGTGCTGGGATTTGAACCTGGGTCCTTGAAAGAGCAGCCAGTGTTCTTAACCACTGAGCCATCTCTCCAGCCCCCCTGGTCCATGTTCTTAATCTGGCAATAAGTGAAAACAAAGGCCTAGAATCTAAATTATAGGGCAGGAAACAGAAACTTGTTTTATTTCCATTTACATTCTTTTATCTTTCCAGCAACCGGTAAAGATTTGTTCTCTGTCTATGCATGTCTGTGAAGACTGAAATGACATGGTGTAGATAGTTGAAAGTACGGCGCTGAAAGACAGGCTTTTCTGACCCCCAGGGCACTACATGTTTCCTTTCCAGAGGAAGAGTGGGGGACGTAGACACTCAAATGTTTAACTCCGTGAAAAATGGCTGACGTGACAGCCTTTCACCGGTTTCTCTCAACCCTGCTGCAGGGCTCTCCTCTCTTGCAATGTAGGCTTTCTCTTTGTGGTTCCAGTGGCTGTGTCAGCTGACGCATGACAGCTGCTCAGGTAGATGAAGTACTCAGGAATTAAGTGTTAGGAGAAGTTGATATCCTTTGGGCAATGGCTTGGGTCTTAGGATTTTAGCCATTTGAACACGGTAGCTCTGTGAGAGACAAACAATAGATGTGTATGGAGCTGTTCTAGAGGGAAATCATTACACATAACAAATGCCTGCTTCTAAAATGAATAGAAAGTGAAGACCTTCGGAGGAGAAATTAGTGCAGTGTGTTTCTGAATTGGTTTTCTTTCAGTTTGTATAGTCCAGTCTTGATATCACAGAAAGTCAAGTAGAATGAGGGCAAGGCCATTACATTGAAATGTCAGAACTGGGAAGCAGAGATAGGGTTTTGTTTTTGGTTTTTTTTTTTGTTTGTTTGTTTGTTTGTTTGTTTTCAGAATTGTTTA